CGAATATTAACCACACGTGGATTTAAAAAAAAATTCCGAATATTAACAACACGTGGATTTAATTTTTTTTTTTTTTTTCGAATATTAACAACACTTGCATTTAAATTTTTTTTTCGAATATTAACAACACGTGGATTTTAATTTTTTTTTTTGAATATTAACAACACGTGGATTTTAAATTTTTTTTCGAACATTAACAACACGTGGATTTAAAAAAAATTTTTTTTTTCGAATATTAACAACACGTGGATTTTTGAAAAATATTTTTTGAACGCTCAACAGTCGCAAAATTTAAAAAAAAAAATATTTTTTTGAACCCTCGACAGTCGCGTTAAAAAAAATATTTTTTTGAACGCTCAACAGTCGCGGAATTAAAAAAAAAATATTTTTTCATTTAAAAAAGTTTAAAAAATATATTTTAACCTAAAACCAATCAAACACTCGAAAGGCGTGACATTTTTTATAAAATGTTTTTTTTTTTTTTGAACACTCAACAGACGTTGGATTTTCAAAACAAATATTTTTCCACCAAAAAAAAAAAAATTAAAAAAATATTTCGACCTAAAAATCAAACGTGGATTTATAAAAAAATATTTTTTCACCAAAAAAAAAAATTAAAAAAAAAAATATTTCAACCTAAAAATCAAACTTGGATTTGTTAAAAAATATTTTTCCACCTAAAAAAATTTTAAAAAATATATTTGACCTAAAAATCAAACGTGGATTTATAAAAAAAAAAAATATTTTTCCACCTAAAAAGATTAAAAAAAATAATTTCGACCTAAAAACGAACATGGATTTTTAAAAAAATATATTTTTTCACCTAAAAAAAATAAAAAAAAATATTTTAATCTAAAAAACAAACGTGGATAAATTAAAAAATATTTTTCCACCTAAAAAAATTTAAAAAAAAATATTTCGATTAAAAAAACAAGCGTGTATTTATTAAAAAATATTTTTCCAACTAAAAAAAATATTTCGACCTAAAAAACAAACGTGGATATATTAAAAAATATTTCTCCACCTAAAAAAAAATAAAAAAAAAAATATTTCGACCTAAAAAACAAACGTTTATTTATTAAAAAAACATTTCTCCATCTAAAAAACAAACATGGATTTCTTAAAAAAATATTTTTTTAATCAACAACCAAACGTGGATTTCTTATAAAATATTTTATCAATCAACAAACAAACGTGGACTTCTTATAAAATATTTTTCCTCCTAAAAAAATATATATATATTTCCACCTTTTAAAAAATATGTTTCCAAGCAACAACTAAACATAGATTTAAAAAAAATCCAATCAACCTAATGTGGATTTTGTAAAAAATATTTCTCGGCCTTTACGTCCTCCAAAAAACTCTTATACTCAAAATTTCAGAAGCGATTTCAAAGTTTTCTCTTTATGGCCAATAACATTGGACGTGTGAGCGATAAAACTTCCTATGGCTCTCCATGACAATGATAACAATTGACAAATATCCTCCTCTATTTGAAAAATTCCACATAAGATGCAAATCTTATTGTTGACTGTCCATAAAAAGTCCTTTCACGTAACATGTCCTTAAATTTTCAAATGAATGGCGAGGATAAAGAAAGAAAAAAAAATGAAAAGAAAATAAAATAAAATTATAAATGAACAAGTCTAAGACATAAAAATTTTGCTGATATGACTTTGTCTAAAGAATTACTTGACTTCTATGGAATTTTTAAAGAGAGGAGGAGGGAGAGGAAGAAGTCTTTTGAAAATCCACACACACACATATATGATAATTAGATGCGAACAAAAGTTTAATATTATTTATAATATCCTCTGTTAGAAAACAAGCAAAAAAAGTGATATGAGTAAAACTCGCCACATTATTCGCTGGAATGTGTGGACGCGAATTCAGGAGAAGAAGCAAAATCCTTCCCACCACCACCACCAACAAGCAGCAATGTTTTACAAGTTAATTGTCATAAAATTCAACCGAGTATCTCATACGGATTCGTGCCTCTATGCATTATAATTATCATCCTGCAAATGCGAATCCTTCTACAGGATATGTGAACAACAGCGAATGGATCATTCGTTTTTTGTTCCACGCAAAGGATGAGGCGAGGCGAAGGGGAGTCATTGTCATCAGCAATAACATGGCGTTAAATGTATTTTCTGGATAAGGTTACATGACTTTGGCATTATTTCATGCTTATCTTGAGTAATTAAGACGCTCGGCTGATGTTGTTGTTGCTGCTGTTGATGTTCTTCACGACTAGCAAAAGAAAAAGTATTTTAATGATAGAAAAATATTTACAATATAAAACAAAAGTTGATAGAAGAGACAAATACTTGTGACAAGGGAGGGCCAACAATGGGTGGATGGCCTCATTTTTCTCCCCAGAGGGAGGTCTTTCTGCGTGGATTTTTAAAAAAATATTTTTTTCGACCTTAAACTAGACTTGGATTTTTTTAAAATTGTGTTTTTCGAACATTAACTGGACGTGGATTTAAAAAAATATTTTTTTTCGACCATTAACGGGACATGGATTTAAAAAAAATATATATTTTTTTCGACCATTGACGAGACGTGGATTTTTAAAACATATTTTTTTAGACCATTAACTAGACGTGGATTTTTAAAAAATATTTTTTTTCGACCACTTATGAGACGAGGATTTTTAAAAAAAATATTTTATTGGCTGTAAACGAGACGTGGATTTTTTAAAAAATATTTTTTTCGGCCTCTAACGAGACGTGGATTTTTTAAAAAATATTTTTTTCGGCCTCTAACAAGACGTGGATTTTTTAAAAAAATAATTTTTCGGCCACTAACGTGGATTTTTTAAAAAATATTTTTTTTTTCGATCATTAAAGAGCTATGAATTTATTGCACATTTTTTTCGACAATTGACGAGACGTGGATTTTTTAAAAAATATTTTTTTTTTTCGATCATTAAAGAGCTATGAATTTATTGCACATTTTTTTCGACAATTGACGAGACGTGGATTTTTTTAAAAATAATTTTTTGACCATTAACGAGTCGTGAATTTTTTAAAAATATTATTTTCGAGCATTAACGAGAAGTGGATTTTTTAAAAAATATTTTATCGGCCTTTAACGAGCCGTGGATTTTTTAAAAAATATTTTTTTGGACCAATAGCAAGACGTAGATTTTTTAAAAAATATATTTTTTAACCTTAAACGAAACGTGGATTCTTTTAAAAAATATTTTTTTAACCTTAAACGAAACGTGGATTCTTTTAAAAAAATATTTTTTTGATCTTAAACTAGAGGTGGATTTTTTAAAAAATATTTTTTTAACCTTAAACGAAACGTGGATTCTTTTAAAAAAATATTTTTTTGATCTTAAACTAGAGGTGGATTTTTTAAAAAATATTTTTTCGACTTTAAATGAGACTTGGATTTTTTAAAAAAATATTTTTTTCGACCATTAGCGAGATGTGGTTTGTTTAAAAAATATTGTTCCGACCATTAACGAGACGTGGATTTTTAAAATTTTTTTTTCGACTATTAGCGAGACGTGTATATAAAAATATTTTTTCGACCTGTAACTAGACTTGGATTTTTTAAAAAATATTTTTTTCGACCTTAAACTAGGCGTGGATTTTTTAAAAAATAATTTTTTTCGACTTTAAACAAGACTTGAATTTTTAAAAAAATATTTTTTTCGACCTTGAACGAGACGTGGATTTTTTAAAAAATATTTTTTTCGGCCTTAAACGAGACTTGAATTTAAAAAAAAAAAATATTTTTTTCGACTTCAAACGAGAAAATTTATTTGACCATAATATTTTTTTATTGACCATTAACGAGACATGGATTTTAAAAAAAATATTTTTTTCGACCTTTGCCGAGACGTGGATTTTTTATAAAAAATATTTTTTTCGACCATTAACAAAACGTGGATTTTTTAAAAAATATATTTTTCGACCATTACGAGACGTGGGTTTTTTAAAAAATATATTTTTATCCACCATTAACGAAACGTGGATTTTTAAAAAAATATTTTTTTCGACATTTAATGAGACGCGAATTTTTTAAAAAATATTTTTTTCGACCATTAACTAGACTTGGATTTTTTTAAAAAATATTTTTATTGACCTTAAACGAGACGTTAATTTTTTAAAAAAATATTTTTTAAACTTAAAAGAAACGTGGATTTTTTAAAAAATATTTTTTTCGATCTTAAACTAGACGTGGATTTTTTAAAAAAATATTTTTTCGACCGTTAACTAGACTTGGATTTTTTAAAAAATATTTTTTCGACCTTTAACTAGTCTTGGATTTTTTAAAAAATATTTTTTTGACCATTGAAGAGGCGTGGATTTTTTAAAAAAAATATTTTCGACCTTAAACTATATTTTTCGACCATTAGCGAGACGTGGATTTTTAAAAAAATATTTTTGTCGACATTAAACTAGACGTGGATTTTTTAAAATTTTTTTTTTCGATATTTAACTAGGCGTGGATCTTTTAAAAAATATTTTTTCGACCATTGAATTGACGTGGATTTTTTTAAAAAATATTTTTTTTCGACCGTTAACAGGGCGTGGATTTAAAAAAAAAAAATAATTTTTTCGACCAATAACGAGACGTGGATTTTTTAAAAAATAATTTTTTCGACCAATAACGAGACGTGGATTTTTTAAAAAATAATTTTTTCGACCAAAACTTGGATTTTTTAAAAAATATTTTTTGAGCATTAATAAAACGTGGATTTTTCAAAAAATATTTTTTTCGACCATTGACGAGACGTTGATTTTTTAAAAAATAATTTTATCGAACATTAACAAGACGTGTTTTTTTTAAAAAAATATTTTTTTCGACGTTAAACCAGACGTGTTTTTTCAAAACAATATTTTTTTAACCTTAAACGAAACGTGGACTTTTTTAAAAAAATATTTTTTCGACCTTAAACGAGACGTGAATTTTTTAAAAAATATTTTTCGACCTTTGACGAGACGTAAATTTTTACATTTTTTCTATTTCTCTTCCAGACCCTGGTACCCTCCATACTCCTGAGCTTTGAGGTCGAACGTGTTGTCTCATCAATTGAGGGCTCCCTTTTGGCACTGGCCGGACCGAAAGGCGTTTGTATTATGGAAATGCCCCGACGTTGGGGTGCCAATGGCCAGTTTATGGATGGCAAATCGCGTATCACCTGTCGGTAAGTCTCTGTCGTCTGGCACGAATGCAAGGCCGATTTAAATAACTTTTTTTAACATGACTCCGCAAATCAAACTGTCATTAAATGACAGCTTTAGGTAGAACATTATTTGTCTTCTTACGGCATTAAATTAGGGCTTATGGCCTTATAAAAATGATAAACTGCATAATATTCTGTGTTGCGCGGCGTCATATTTTTTGCCAAACATGGCAAAGAAGAAAAATGCAAAACGAAGAAGAGCACAACAACTACAAAAGTTTTTCAAAAAGACATTATTATAATTTTGTTGTTGAAATACAACTTTCGAAGTAGAAGACAACCTGGTGCCCATTCTCCAGGTAATTTTTGTGGAGTTTTTTTTGCCTTGGGAAATGGTAACAGGTTATATTTAATGCCAAATGCATTTGTCCTTTAGCTGGGAGCTTATTTTGCAAGAAGTTGCTAACGAAAATGAAGCGGAAGTCAGAAGACGAAGAAGGTGGAGGGGGAGGTAATTTTTATGCCGATGTTAGCACATCTGTTTTTTATTACTTTTAATTTGCCATTAATAAAGCATTTCGTCGCTCGTTTGCCAATGTATTTTTGTGTGGGTGGATAGAGGGGGCCAGAGGCAGAATATGAAGTCGTAGATATTTCCCTAAGCTTATTATTAGTCACCTTTGGTTTATGGCCCAAAAAAAAAGGCCGAAATTGAGAAAACTTCAATTAAACACCAATACTTCTTGAACTCCACTTCCTTTGCCACACTAATAACCGCAACTTCACTCCAGGGGCAGGGAGGGCAAAACTTTATTCCTCTCCGTCATGGCCATTAATTATGTATGAAACGAAATGAGATGCAAATATCTTTGGGAATTAACGCGATTTGTGGTTGGAAGATATGAATGGAATATTGAGAGAGAGGGGGAGAGGTGGTTGTTTGGTCTCCTTGGCCATGAACTAATGAATCAATGATATTGACAGATTTATGAGTTCTTATCTTGCCTTTTTCCAGGAAATTCCAAATAAATGTGGGAAGATGAACAAGTGGCTCCAGGGGGCGGCTATGGTAGACGAGTTGGAAAATTTCAAAGCACAAGCACTTAAACAATATTTATAAAAAATTTAAAATTTTTATAACAAGATATATATTTTTAGAGAACCCCTTAAAAGCTTCTTCAATTCCACAAAAGACACCTAGGTCCTCTATTCAAAAAAAAAAAATAAAATAATAATAATAAATAAATAAATAAATAATAAAATAAAATAAAAGATTTTTTAAGAGGTCATCTACGACCAGCTCTTAAGGGATCTTATACTCGATAATTTTTTTCTCCTATTAAGTCTCCTTTAAAAGATTTCTAAGCACATATTCTATAAAAGATCCTTTGCGAGTGCCCTCTAAGAGGTCGACTATTCTGTAGAAGGTTCCTGTGATGTCTTTAATTCAATAGAAGACCCATGTGGATGTCTTGGACTTAAGATACGATTGCTTAGGACGTCTTCGACTCTAAGGACATATTTCATAGAAAAATCTTAGCGAGTGCCCTATGGGAGGTCTTTTTTTCTAAAGAAGGTTCCTGTGATGTTTTCAATTCAATAAAATACCTAGATTCAATATATGATTACTTAGGACGTCTTCGACTCTAAAGATATATAGAAGACCCTTTGCGTGTGCCCTCTAAGAGGCCCTCCATTCTGCTAAAGGTTCCCGCTATGTCTTCGATTCAATACCTATTTCGATGTTAAATAGAAGTTTGCTTAGGACATCTTTGACTCTATTTTTCTATAGAAGATCATTTGCAAGTACCCTCAATGAGGTCTTATATTTTGCAAGAGGTCCCCGTTATGTCTTCAATTCGATAGAAGACCCATTTCGACGTTTTAGGTTAAAAACCACTCCAAGTTTTCGGAATGGTCTTCTATATACTAAAAGATATTCGGAGTAGGTTTTGTAGCCGAAAAATTCCTTGGAGTAAAACAGTCTTTCGGAGTAGTCTCCTAAAAAGTGAAGGTATCCGGAGTGGTTTAAATAGCCAAAAAAATTCTTCGGAGTATAATAAAATCTATCGGAGTAGCATCTTGTTTTAGAAAAAATTCTGAGTTGTCTTCTATAGTCTGGAATGTATTCGGAGTAAGTTTTTAAAGTCCGAAAAGTCTTCGGAGTAGAGAAATGTCTTTGAAAGTAGCATTTTGCACTAGGAAACCTGTTCGAATTGGTACAGTATATTCTAGAAGGTATTCGGAGTGGTTTTTAGTAGCCAAAAAATTCCAATCCAAAGAGTAGCATCTTGTTTTAGAAAAAAAATCCTGAGTTGTCTTCTATAGTCTGGAATGTATTCGGAGTAAGTTTTCATAGTCCAAAAATCTTCGGAGTAGTTTTTTATAACCGAAAATTTTTTCGGAGTAGCATTTTGTACCACAAGAAAATGTCTTCGGAGTAGAAACAAGTCTTTCGGAGTAGCATTTTGCTGTAGAAAAAAATTCGGAGGGGTCTTCTAAAGTCTAGAAGATATTCGGACTGGCTTGGTATATCCGAAAAATCTGTGGAGCAGAAAACAAGAAGGTATTCGGAGTGGTTTTAATGTTTTTAAATGTTTTTAAAATTGCAGCACAACATTTACTAAATAGTCTTCCATAATCTGGATGTTATTCGGAGTGGATATATATAAACTGAAAGGTCTGTGGAGTAAAAAAAAAAACAAATATTTCGAAATGACATTTTGCACTACAGAAATTTTTCGAAGTAGTTTTAATAGCCGAAAAGTTCTTCGGAGCACAAAAAAATTTCTTTTGAAGTAGCCTTTTGTACTAGAAAAAATTTTCGGAGTGGTCTTCTGTAGCCTAGAAGGTGTTCGAAGTGGTTATTTATAATTTGAAGGGTCTTCGGAGTACAAAAAAGTTTTTCGGAGAAACATTTTGTACTGGAGAAAATTTTCGGATTGTTGTTGTGTTATGTTTTCAATCATTCAGAATACCCTTTCTTTTGATACCGATTTTATATAGTCTAACAAGAATTCGGAGTTGCGAAAGTAGTTCGAAAGTAATATTGTGTATAAGTTTTTCGGATGGGTCTTCTTTCTATATAACATTTTTCGGATTCGGAGTAATCTTAAAATCGTAGAAAGTAATTGGAGTCGCTGGGAAACAACCGTAGAGGATAAGAAAATATTCGGAGTTCAATACTCCTGTTTAGAAATAATTCGAATCGTCGTCGGAGTCCACAAAAATTTCTGAGTAAAACCGTACCTTCTAAAATTGTTTTTTTGGTTTGAGAGGAGATAGGAAGTGTAGTTTAGTTCTAGAAATTCAGTCGTATTCTGGAAAGAAGATGTCTCTCCACCTTGGGAGATATGTACTCTCGAATGAAATCCATGTCTGTCTCCACCAATTCAAAGTTAATCTCTTAAACACAAAATCTCGTCTTCTCCTCTCTCTCTCTCCCTCTCTTGAAATATTTTTTCTCTCCTCCCCACCCCCTCCGATATTCAGTTTTTAATGTTATACTTGGCAAAAATTTGAAATTCTCTTTCCTTTATTTAGTTGCAGTGGAGAACAGTTCCCGTTCGCTGTTCTTCCACAAAAACGAACTCTGTGTGAGGACAGCGGTATCGGTGTAAACCAAACTCAAGCCGTGATGACAGTAACGGACTTCCTTTTGTCGCATTAAAAAGCCTTTGGAATTTCTTTCATTACCGTCAACGAAACGGCGAAACAAAAATCTTTGATTCCTTTTAATGAATGCCAACCAGGCAGCCAGTCAGCCATCCAACCATCCGACCAACTGGAGAACTCGAACTGAATTTGCAAACATAGACAATCAGCCATAACTGAAAAGCAAAGGAAACTACCTCTTCGGTGGGGGAGAGAGAGTGAAGGGGAACATTTCTCCAATTCATGACAGCTTTACAAAAAAGTTTCAAGTGCTTTTCGAACAAAATTTTTATAATTTTTTTGGAGAAAAAAGGAAGAGGGTATGTGGGGGAGGGGAAGAAGAGCGGCAGGGCGAAATATTTAACTCTTTCTTATTGTTGTTATTATTGAGGAACAACAATTGCATTTTTGTGTTTGAATACAAATGCTGCTGCTGATGATGATGAGAGCAATCTCTCCTCTCTGCTCTTCTCTCCTCTCTCCTCTCCAACAAATAATCTTCCATGCCTCCCTGCAGTTCATTTGGAATAATGGGATTTTTCGATTGCTCCTTTTAAAAAGGAAATGCAGGAATCTGCAAGGCTTGGAGAGGAGATGTAGGGAAGGACGAGGTTGTGGCGAGGCATAATCAGGCAATATTTCCATCAAGGATGTTCATTTTTTGGCAAATTACAATAGAAATTGTCAAGTCAAATTTGTAGGGAGAGAGAAGGCAACAAACAATAGAGGACAAATGGCAGAAAATTTAGGCGCCAGAAAAGGAGGGTCTTTTCTATGGGAAAAAAAATCCGCCAGAGTGTAGTGGTTTTTCCTTAGAAAGAAATTCTTCAGATTCTGGACTAAGGGTTTTTTTCCAAAAAAAAAAAAATAGACGTTAGATTTTTTTCTCCCGAAAAAAATTCTCCGACCCCCTGAGTGCCACATACTCCCCTCGCTCATGTTCCATAATATTTTTTCATGAGAAATTAATTAAATCAACCTAAATCAACAGAATTTTTGCGTGATGACATGGCTTATTGTTCTCTAAAAACGACGGATTGCCACCAAAAATTAATGAGGCTGAAAGGTGCAAAAATGACAGCTTCGTGCTTTTTTGTCTTTCTTTCCTTTTAAATACGAGTAAATATAATTAAATACCACTTAAAGAATATCAAAACACAACTTAGATGCCAAAATATGGCAAGGTGTATGGTAGAGAAAGGGGTTGAAGCAGGAGGCTTACGGGAGCTTTGCTTGGTGGCTGGCAAGCATTAATTGTTATGCTATGCAAATCGAAAAAGTACCAGAAAATGCCATAAAATGACAAAAATCATAAAGTTTTGTCGACAGTGTGATTATAAGGACGAAAAAAAAGAAACAACAACAAC